TGAAAACTTTGTCAAATAAATCAAAAAAAAGGAGATATATAAGTACCGACGAAGATAGTGATGATACCAGCAGCTTAAGTGATATAAGCAGCGTGGACAATGAGGATGATGATACGTTGATGACTAAAATGGTGGCTAGTGTTGTTATAAATAATACAAACAACAAGTATCAAGAACACCCGACGCTTGCATCACTTCCTCAATCAACTATCGATGAGTTCTTCAGCACAAACGTAATTCAAGTTGTTGGTGATTCAACACTTAAACCAATTATGTCGTTTGAACAATTGATGGTAGACAAAGAAATTAAACGTGTTTTGGCAAGATTTGATAAGCCAACACCAATTCAGGCTACTTGTTGGCCTCTTTGCTTGAGCGGAAAAGATGTGATTGGAATTGCAGAGACTGGGTATGTATTATAATATATATATATATCTTCGTATTACAACTTTAAAATTTACCAATTTTTAATTATTTTTAGGTCAGGCAAGACTCTAGCTTTTATTGTGCCCGCGGTTATACATATTAAAAGTCCACCATACAGTCCACCTAATCATCAACCTTTTGCTCTTGTCATTGCACCAACACGCGAACTAGCCATTCAAACACATAAACAATGTGAAATGTTTGATTCAACATGTGGAATTAAAAGCGTTTGCGTTTATGGCGGTGTATCCAAAGGTGAACAACGTAAACTATTGCGAAAAGGTGCTCATATAGTAGTTGCTACACCTGGTCGCCTACTTGATTTGGCTAACGACGGAGTATGTGATATAAGCAATGTTAAATTCCTTGTACTCGATGAAGGTATGCTTTATTATGAAATTTATTCTAATAACATTATAATTCAAATAATATAAATATATAAATATATAAAGATTTATATTGTTTTTAGTATTTATTATAGTATATCGACGATTCTTAACTTCATATTTTTTTTTTTTAGCTGATCGTATGCTTGACACAGGATTTGAAGAAGAAGTTCGTAATATCATTCTAAAAACACGAAAAGATCGTCAAACTGTAATGTTTTCAGCAACTTGGCCCGAATCTGTTCGTAAATTGGCTAATGATTTTTTAACTAACCCAATTCGAGTTACGATTGGCTCACAAAAACTAGCTGCAAATAGAAATGTTACTCAAATAGTGGAAGTAATTGATGATCCATCGGAGAAAGATCGTCGACTCGTAACACTTTTAGAAAAGTATCATAACCGAAAAAATAGAGTTTTGATATTTGTTCTTTACAAAAAAGAAGCTTCACGTGTTGAAAATATGTTGGCACGTAAAGGATATGAGGCACAATCTATTCATGGTGACAAGAGTCAATTTCAACGTATAGAAGCATTAAATGCATTTAGAGATGGAATTTATCCACTTTTGATCGCAACAGATGTTGCATCAAGAGGATTAGATATTCCTGATGTAAGATATGTAATTAATTACACGTTTCCGTTAACTATAGAAGATTATGTTCATCGTATTGGACGAACCGGGCGTGCTGGCAATAAGGTAAATTATTTAATTACTTATTTAATTACGCGCTTTTTTTTTTCTAGTAAAAAGAAAATTATTAGTATTTATTAACTTTTGAATTTTTATTTTATTATTTATTTTATAGGGAATTTCTCATACTCTTTTCACATCTTATGATAAAGGACATTCAGGAGAACTCATTAGAATATTGCGTCAAACCAATCAACAAATACCTGACTCATTACTTCGATTTGGTAGTGGTACTAAAAAGAAGGAACATAAAGCTTACGGAGCTTTCTATAAAGAAATTGATCATAATGTAAAACCTACGAAAATCAAATTTGAGGATTGAACTCTCTAACAGAAAGGTAAATATGGATAGATAATAATGATGTATACTTTATATATTACATATATTATTACATTACAAAATATTGGCAGATATCTTATTTGTAATTTTGAATTGGTGTGCCAGTGCTTATACACATGAAAACGATGGTGATATGGATTTATCCAAGGTTAGCATTGATGTTTCACTAACTATAAATGGATCTCATGAATCACCTTAAGTGATATAGTATTACATTAAAATGAAGTTTTTTTTTCACATTGGGTTGATCCCGACTATACCGACCAAAAAGCAATATCTGGTAAACTAAGCCAGACATTCTAACTAGCATTGTCTTTAATATTCCGACTTTTTGCCTTACATAAAAATCATATAATGTTGTAATGGTGTAAAAAAAAAAAAATTAATGTAATGGTGTCAGTTGTATACTATTGTTTGTAAAAGACATGCTGTATGTAAATAAAATTTTATTAATCATTAGCAATTTTGGTTCATAAACTCATAATGCTGTATTTTTTAATTATATTAGGTTAAAAAATATTCTGTTACTATATTACTGTAATTTATTGTCATTATTATTTTTTAATGTTAAGGTGAATTACTGTAATTTATTATCATTATTATTTTTTAATGTTAAGGTGAATTACTGTAATTTATATATACAGTAGATACATATATATACAGTATAATAATGGTTATTTTTAAATTTATTTTTAGGTTAAGTTAGGGTTTAGGATTAAACTGGTTAATGTGAAAAGGGATAAGTTAGTTTTAAAAAAATATATAGAATAGAATTTTTTAAAATTTTAAAAATTAATATAATAAAAAATATAAAAAATATTATAAAAACTAATAGAATTGCACATACGTATAACCTAAATGTTTGCAAGTAAACTAATACGTACGACGTAGATACGTATACGTATGTACGTGCGTATTTTTGTAATAGCAGATAAAGTTTTCACGAATTTTATTAGCGTTAGCGTTAGTTTCACGAATCTATTAATTAATCAATATATTTTTAGTATACTAACGCTAAATATTTGTTAACGTTGAACAAAATGCAAACAAATACGTCATACGTATGTTCAATGGATTAATAATAATAATCTCGAATGGTCTAGTCGAATGATCTAGCCGAATGACCTGATAATAAATCGGCTAAGTAACTCCGAACCGTAAAACTATAAAAAGCGTTGGAAAATTTCCTCCCCATCTCCATCATTTCTCAAAAATAAAAATTTTTAACATTAATAACACCACCACTAAAATAACAATAAAATAACCATATACAACTAAACTATTAAAACATGCAGATTTTCGTTAAAACTCTTACTGGCAAAACTATAACCCTTGAGGTCGAGTCTTCTGATACTATTGATCAAGTTAAAACAAAAATCCAAGACAAAGAGGGTATCCCACCGGATCAGCAACGACTTATTTTCGCAGGAAAACAACTTGAAGACGGTCGTACTTTATCTGATTACAACATTCAAAAAGAATCTACTCTTCATCTCGTATTACGTCTTCGTGGAGGAATGCAAATTTTTGTCAAGACCTTGACTGGTAAAACCATTACCCTTGAGGTTGAATCCTCTGACACCATCGACCAAGTTAAAACAAAAATCCAAGACAAAGAGGGTATCCCACCGGATCAGCAACGTCTCATTTTTGCAGGAAAACAACTTGAAGACGGTCGTACCTTATCTGATTACAATATTCAAAAGGAATCTACCCTTCATCTTGTATTACGTCTTCGTGGAGGAATGCAAATATTTGTTAAAACTTTAACCGGAAAGACAATTACCCTTGAAGTAGAATCTTCAGATACCATCGACCAAGTTAAAACAAAAATTCAAGATAAGGAAGGTATCCCTCCAGATCAGCAACGTCTCATTTTTGCGGGAAAACAACTTGAAGATGGTCGTACATTATCGGACTACAATATCCAAAAAGAATCGACTCTTCACCTTGTATTACGTCTTCGTGGAGGAATGCAAATCTTTGTTAAAACTTTAACCGGAAAGACAATCACCCTCGAAGTAGAATCCTCTGACACAATTGATCAAGTTAAAACAAAAATTCAAGATAAGGAAGGTATTCCACCGGATCAGCAACGTCTTATTTTTGCGGGTAAACAACTCGAAGATGGCCGTACCTTGTCCGATTATAATATTCAAAAAGAATCAACACTTCATCTTGTATTACGTCTTCGTGGTGGAATGCAAATATTTGTAAAAACTTTAACTGGCAAGACTATTACTCTTGAGGTTGAATCATCTGATACTATTGATCAAGTTAAAACAAAAATTCAAGATAAAGAAGGTATTCCACCAGATCAACAGCGTTTAATTTTTGCTGGTAAGCAATTGGAAGACGGTCGTACTCTTTCCGACTATAACATCCAAAAGGAATCAACACTTCATTTGGTACTTCGTCTTCGTGGTGGTCAATAAAGGTGTAATGAATGTGTTAAAGATGTATTAAATTGATAGGATAGACAAGCATAATTATTATATATGTAAAGATAGTTATTAAATATATATGTATATCATTTACAATTTATTATATGTAATGATATATGCGTTTAATGTTTTAATAAAATTGATGTGCAGAAAGATTTTATAAAGAAAAAGTAATTGAGTAATCATCTTGAATATGTTGAAATTTTTATTTTCAGATTATTGTGGTAAAATTAAATACATGCATTATAAAAAGTGTTTGTTTTAAATAAATATTACAAGAATTTAATTCCCAAAAAGACAATCCTCTACTTATTTTCACAAATACACTCTAAAATAGGAACTTTGTATAAAAAAATAACTAAATACGAAGTTCAATATATAAATTACGAGTTCTCTCTTTATAATGAACCTCTATAACAAATTTTGAATATAACGAACCACAGAATTTTAAGCTTTATACTAGTTCGGTATAGAAAATGTAGTGCACCCTTATGAAAACAGTAATTTATATATATCCTTCCAAAAACCATCTGTTCATTATAAAGAGAATTTTCTAAATTATAAACGTATTACAAGTAATATTATACATCTTTTAAAAAATATAAAATATTCTAATGTTTAAAAATGTTTTAAAGGGAAATAATCATTCCAACTTATCCAAATGATCTAATCGTGTTAATACAATGTTTTTACTAGTCTCTTCAATTTCTCCAGCTAAAAAAACTTCATCTAGAATTGCATAAACCTATAACAAAGATATAACAAAGATGAAAAGTTTCATGTTAATTATATTATCTATAAAATAAAATATAAAATACAAAAAGATATAATAATTGTAATGCGTTTACCTTGTAAAAATTAAAAACCAAATCTAATTCACAAACATTTCCGAAAAATGCATCCAAAACTTCGACAAAAAAATGTATAGCTTCTAGATAAGCTATTTCATTATCATTGGCGTCTACACATACACAAAAAAATAATCCAGCATATCGACGGTATACAATTTTATAATTACGAAACTATTTTGAATCAAGAAACTTTGTCAATTAATATTATTAAATAATTATATAAAAAAATTATTTAAAATACATGCCTCTACAAAATTTGATTGATGTTTTTGATCTCTTGGTGCAACAAGTCTATGAACTTCTCCTTTTAATTTTACTTTTTCTTCGTCTTCGTATGGTACGTACCATTTTGCAAGTCGGGTTTTACCTTGACGATTTTGAACTAAAATGAATCGAATCTAGAAATAAATGAATATTTAATAAAAAAAATACATACAAGTAAACTTGCAAACAAAAGGATGCGTAAAATTTATGAGCGAATTTTTTTTTTACCATTATTTATTATTTGAATTTTAAGAGTATTAAGGGTTGGTATGAATTATGTAATTCATTGCGGCGAATTTATGAAATCAGAGCATTTTGATTCACTACGAAGTGCGTCATTTACTATTTGTTGTTTGACATTTCTTATTGTAAAATCATATAGATAACGTCTAACCCATCTTCTCTTGTAATTTACACGGGAAGATATGTTAGACGTTATCTATATAAATTTACAATAAGAAATGTCAAACAAATAGTAAATGACGCACTTCGTAGTGAGTCAAAATGCTCTGATTTCATAAATTCGCCGTAATGAAACTATTAAAAATCAATGTATCTATTTAAAAATAAGTTAATTATTTTCATAAATAATATTTAACGTGTAATTATTATTAAATGCACATCCAACAGAACGTAATTTTTTTTTAACGTATGAAATTCAAAATTTATAAATTATTGCAAATAAACAATACAATAAATTAATCGTAAATGTTAAAAAAAAAAAGTTCAGTAAGTTCCAACGCACTATAAAGAAAAGCTTTGTTAAGCATAGTCCAGGAATGCATGACAATATTTACAACAATTGAAGAACACTAGTACGTGTATTCCCCAAATATAAAGAAATAAAATTTTGCTTTGGCTAGAAACACTTGTTTATGCGAGTGATACAAACCCAAACCTGTTAATGAAAAAAAATTACCATTTAATATAAATAATTTCTATGAAATTAATATAAACTATTTGCCACCTCAGATTTTTTACATTGTGATTTACATTCCAATACTTACGGTTTAATTTGACCACGCTCGTATATAATTAGTGACATTTCCCTTTTCACACTTACAGTGGAACTTGAGATACTTATATGTAATACGTTAAAAACCATAAATACATTACCTTGGTTAAATTGCCACCTAAAAAACTTCAAATTATTTCGAAATAAAAATTTTGGTTTGTATTTTGTAATTAAATTAAGATTCAAAAGTCTATTATACCAAATTTTTTTTAAACAAACTCAACCAATGGTCGAGTTATAACAATAATTCTTCTCCAAAGTTACCTTCAAAATGTCACTTCATGTTGATGTTAGGGTTAGCGTAAAGATTAGGGTTAGAGTGTGGTAGCATATGTGTCATTTATAGTAAAATTTCTTAAGATATCTTTTTTTTAGTGCACAATGGACTGTTTTTTTTATTCGAAGTTTGGAGAATTAAGCAATTTTGGATAACACAGATATTTGTTGTAAGCCAGTGTTACAATAAAATTTTGTCACATGTATCGTAAGGACCTAAATTAGCATTTCTCCCGGATGGGCATTCGGATTATGGACAGTATAATCAAAGGAGGAAGGTCACTGGAGAATGTAATGTTCCTTTATATATTTGCTCATATATGTTCTTTCCCGATGTAAGAGTAGAAGATGGAAACCCTTTGAACTCTTCTCATAATAAAGAGATAAAGTAGACTTAAACATTGAAAATCACCCTATGGACGCCTTGAAAATTTAATTTCTTTGTACATTATATAATCCCAATTATTATTTCAAACTAATCTGTGGTATTATAATTTTATATAACACAGGTAAAATGAGGTTCAATAGGGAACCTCCCTATTGCCACCTATTTTTGGCTCCAAAGGAGGTCAATAGGGTATTGATTAGAGCAATAGTACTCAATAGGGTACTAATAAGGTACC